ATGAGGTCTTGCTGCCCAGGCGGGTCTCGAACCCGCTGGCTCAGGCAATCCACTCACCTCGGCCTCTCAAAGGCGCGGGATTACAGGCTGAGCCACCGAGCCCGGCTGATAGTTTTTTTTTTTAATGTTAAGTGCTTTAAAGATGTTATTCCACTGTTTTCTGGTCTTCACGGTTTCTGATAAGAAGATATGGATCATTTGAACTTTTGTTCCTTCTGTGTGTAATTTGTTTTCTCTAGCTGTTCCTGAGTTTACCTTTAGTTTTTGATTTGCAGTACTGGTGTAGTTTTTTTTCCTCTGTATTTGTCTTACTTGGGGTTCTCCAAACTTCTTAAACTTGTAAATTTTTGTCTTTTACCATATTAGGAAGTTTTTAGCCATTATTCTTTTCATATTCTTTCTACCCCTTTATCTCTCTTCTTGGACTCCACTTACACATATATTAGACTTATTGATATATTGTCCCTCAGATGCCTGAGGCTCTGTTTATTTTTTTCATCCAATTTGTACCTCTGTCCTTTATATTGGATTTGTCTTCAGGTTTATTAACTCCCCCCACCCACCTTCAATCTCCTGTTAAGCTCATCCAAAGAATTTGTGGAAAATTTCAGATAATGTATTTATGTTCTAAAAAAATTTTTATGTTCTAAAATTTTCATTTGGTTCTTTCTTATGGTTTCTACTTGTCTACTAAAATTTCATAACGTTTTATTCATTATAAGCATATTTTTGTTTATATCCTTGATTATAGTTATAATAGCTGCTTATAATCCTTGTCTGTTAATTCTAATATCTGGGACATTTCAGGATTGGTCTCCACTGATTTTTTTTCTCTTGAGAATGAGTCACATTTTCATTTTTGCTCATACATTTATCAATTTTGAGCTGTAACCTGGGTGGTATAAATGCATTTTAGACTATCTTGATTCTGTTTTTCTTCATAGGGGTATTTTTTTAAGCAGGGAGTTAACTTTAAACTCTGAATTCTAAACAACCTTTATTTGTTTAGTCTTCGGTGGGATACTTGGAGTCTTCCCCTCATATGCATGGTTCATAGTCACCCAGAGATTCAGGCAGAATTAAATATATGCAGTGAAGCTTCCTTTTGCTGGTTCTCTTTTTTTCCAAGATTTTTCTCCTCACTCTTCAGTGGCTATGGTCACCCCATACTTTATTCTCTAGGCCTTAAAACTACTAAGACTACAGGTTTTAAACTTGAGCTTTGTGTACTTGGCATGCTGTCCTCACTCAGTGGCACTCCTTCTTCCAGATATTGACCCCTCTCCAATGTCTGCCTGCTTCTTTGTTGCCAAGTGCTTTTAGATGGTTTTTTTTAATCTTTTGTCCAGAGTGAACAGTGGTTCACTGTGGTTATTTGTGAAAGGCTATTTCACTAGTGGTTATTTGTGAGAGAGTTTGTGTGGTAGTAGCTACACCCACCTTCTTATTAATCTATAACATTTTCAATATTTATGTAATATTTGCTTTAATAAGATGTATAAACTCGTTTTTAAAATTATTTTATTTTTTTACTTAGATATGTTTTATTCAAGCAATTCCTGTTTACAACCGATTTTTATGATTAAAAGGTTTTAAAAATGTATTTTATTTTAAAGATGTGGGCTACAATTCAGGATTAGGTATGCAAGTGGTGATCGCACAGGTCCCCACTTTGCCTGGTTTGAGATCAGGTACCCTTATTGATGTTATGTGCCCCTCACCCCCCTCCCC